GAGGACTTTTTTTTTTTCTTTCCCAGAGCCTGTAGGACGAGTCCTAGTTGTGTGTGTATGTGTGTGTGTGTATGTGTGTGTGTGTGTGTGTGCGCGCGCGCGTGCACGCGCTCCTAGAGGGAATTTGACGAGGGAAAGAAGAACCCGGCGCTTTTTGTAACCCACCGAGAGGCACGCTTTACCCGCGTAAAATTGACAAGAAACTGCTCGAATGGTTTAACTTCATCTAAGCATCTCTTCTCTTGCCCCCCGCTCCTCCGTCCCCTTCCTCTGGCAGTCTCTCCCGCACCTCCTTTCCGCCTCCTTCTCTCCCCTCCCTCTGTAAAGGGAAAGAAGATGAAAGCGAAGCCGCCGCAGCTGTGATCGACACCACATTGATAGATGCTCTGACAGAGGATGAAGCGGGAATCGGAGACAGAAGGAAAAGGGGAAAATATAACAGACATTGCTCAACCAATGAGAATGGAAGCAGGACGGACAAGGAAGAGAGTTGTGGCTTTCCTAAATATAATGTCAAAGGACAAGGGAGCACATGCCAGCGAAAATAAAATCTCCAAGCTTACCGAGAATAATAGGACGAGGAAGACAAAACTGAAGATCTCAATTATTGTTTTTTAAGATCTCTTCTGTTATATCCTCACCTAGTTACGCTAGCTCTCTTCTGGATTTTCGAAGATACACGCCACAATGTGTGGGAACCTCATAGAGGATGAAAAACAACCCAAGGAAGAGAAAGAAAAGGCAAAAGGACCCAGAAGAGTGAAGCCAGTAGAAAGAGGACAAGGCAGTCTCTGGCACCTCCGACTGCAGGCTCAAAGAGACCCTTGAAGATGCAAATATGAATCCAACCTCAAAAATTCCCCAGCCTCCATCGTCTCTTTGATGCATTTTATACAAGGACAGGACTTTTAAGGAGATGATTTGTGGAAGTTACAGTATAAGCGAAGCTGAAGTTGAAAACACATTACATTTTGTTCCTTGGCTCTCAAACCCCCCTCAGTTAAAAATCCAGGCAAAATTATATCCAATGCAGTAGCCATCTGTAAAACCTCAGAACAGTAAACATGGGGCAAGAAGAAATGTCTCCATCTCCCTTAAATTGAAAATAAGGAAAACACTACAGAATCAGGCTTTAGCACTATTATATAGGAACGATGAGGCGAAAATCCTTTCTTTTCCTAAGTGGGGAATTGCTTGCTGCTGGACATTGTATAAAGACCTTAACAATGCTTTAAGTAAGCACCTAAAACTTCTACTGATAACTACTTCCTAGAGATGAGAATTTTCTAGGAAGTTTTTTAGAAAAAAACTATATCATTTAAATTGTTCAGTTGGTCACATAGAGCATGGCCAGTAGTCACAGGTAAATTTTATCTGGGGAGACTGGGGCAGGTGATGGGAGCCAGAATGAGAACATTACATCTGCTTTAAATAGCTGACAATGCTATGCCTTAGAGAAGAAAAACAAAAAGAATATCCTGCTGCAATGCCTCTGTAAGGCACATACACTGAAACGATTGGAAATAAACAATTTAATTTTTTGTTTGGTGGCCATATGCAACTTCCCTTGAACTCATACACCAGTATTAGTGTAATGTTCTAGAGACGTGAACATGTAGCTGTCAGACATTTATATCCTCTTCTAAAATATGAGGAAACAGTCAAAAGTTCTCTCATAAATGCACAAATTTGACCGACGGGAAAAGAACTGGAAAATGCAGTTTCACCAAAGCAGCCAGAGTAGAATTCCTTTTTATCAAACTCTAGGGAGATGGGGGCACACAGCATGGCCAAAGGGTATTATCTGTAAACCAATGAGAGATTAGATGACGACTCGTACATCCACTCTGTTTAAATGTTGCAACTCATTCGAATCCCATTTTCCCCTTTATGTTAATGAGCTAGATTCCCTCAGTCATTTGGAACTCAACTCCAGGTGTCCTGGAGATTAGGCACTCGAGAAGATGGGAATTTTTGGAAAAATAACTAGTGGGAGCTGTTTACTAGAAGGGCCGAGGGTAGGTGGCTGCCTTCAGTACTTGGCGGTAACCCTTTCCTTTGGAAACATTGTTTCCAACGAAATTGCCCAAAGTCTGGCTCGAATGTCCTGTGTTTTCCCTCTCCCTGGCGTGCGGGGTATTGGCTGACTGTCCGTAGCATTGTTGCAAATGTTCTGATGGGCTGTACTTAAAAGGAGCTTTACTAGAAAACATTCACCTAAGTTTTCTAAAGCTTTGTCTGGGAGAGAGGTTGTCATTTCCTCGTGAAGTCTGTCCCCGGGTGGGGGTGCGGCGCAAAAGGGGCGAAGTAACCCCGGGAAGACGTTCCTTCCTCCCTACAGGTTCGGTGAAGCTCCAGGCAAAGGCATTTTTGTCGCCGGGAGGTCTCTAATTCGTGTGGGGGCTGCTATTAACATTTGCAGCCGCCTCTATGGGGTGCATGGTCCGGGATGTGGTAGGCGCCGCGCGGGAGAAACTCCGCCGCCCGCTGCCCCCTTCCCTCGGATGTAGAGGCGGGTGGATCGTGTGAACTCGAGCGAAGGACTGGAGGTTGGCTGTTGCAGGTTCACTCCTTCAGGATGTGGGTTTCAGAGGGCGTTTTGATGTGATTTAATTCCGTGAAACAATTGCTAGGGGCTGGCTGGATTGCTGTTGGTTTTTCCCCTCTTGGTGGCTTTGGTTGGTTGGGGTTAATTTGGGGAGCGAATAGTAACTTGTTTTATATCAATACTTCCTTCTGCGCTGAGCCAGGCGCCGTCGGCCGGGCTGCGCGTGGGGGGCGAGGCGCCCACCCCGCGCCGGAACCGAGGAAGGGGGAGCGGAGACGAGCCCCGCAACCCACAGGGCAAACCGGGCCCAGCCTGCCGCGGGTACGGGCAGGGGAACCGGGTGAATGACCCCCACCCACGTTAGAGTCCCCTCCCCTTGGCGATTTGCTGCCAAGTCGAGTCAGCTACAGACACTCAAGTGAGTCCTTAATTACAGGGAGGAGAGAAGCGCGGTGCCCTTCAGAGCCCTCTCCGCCTCCCTCGGCCCTAACCCCCCGCCCAAGCTCCGGGTCTTCCCCTTTGTGTGGCCTGGACTCGCTCCCAGCGACAACTTTGGTGGGATCCCAAAGGAAGGAGTTGGCGGGGGCCTACGGAAGAGGATGCCCAAAGAGATAAAAGCGCGGGTGAGGGTCTAGAAAACGAAGACTGTGATTCCAGAGACGGAACTCCGGCATTCTCGATTTCCCACCCCAGCCTCACTGCAGACAAGCTGTGCGCTTCTTCAGTTTAACTGACTTCGGAGAAAGAGAGAAGGGGGGGCCCAAGGAAATGGCAGTTTGTGTCCCAGGGGCTCTTCCGCCTCTTCTTGCCTCCTCCTAAGACATACAAACTCACCCCTCCCGCCCTGGTGACAGAGAACTCGTGGGACCGTAAAAATGTCGTTTCCAAATCCGGCTGCCTGCGGACACCAGGCTTCCACGGGACCCGGGCTGCCGGGTGGGGTCTGCCCACGCCCACGGCCCCCGCCCGCTGCTCCGTCCCTCCCGTGGCTGCTCCCGCGCCCCTGCGGGTGCGGGCAGAGCTCGGCGTCCGCGTGTCTCTGAGGTGGAGCCGGAGGCGCACCCGTCCAGGGGCCGAGTCCTCCCACGGTCGGTGAGCGAGGGCCCCGTCCCATCCCACCATCACTGGGCTCGGCCGGTCGAGCCTCTGCCAACCCAGGGGCCACGGCCGCCCAGAGGGAGAGTCAAGCTGGGAGAGCGCCGAGAGGAATGAGGGGCGCGGGCCGCGCCTCGGGGGCAGTCTGGGGGGGAAGTCCCGCCACGCGCCCTCGCGGCTCGGCTCCGCGACGGGAGCCCCCAGCAACACCCCGAAGGAACAGGACACCTGCGCAGAGAAGCGGGCGTTTCGTTCGGAAGGGGGATCCCAAGAATGGAGTGTAATGGGAGTTGGAATAAATGGACGGGCCACAGGACTGCTCGCCTAGTGGGCTAGACGTGATAGTCTTTTCTCTCCTTTCTGAAAACTTTTCTTAAGCGCCTTAACTTGGCTGAGGACGAGCCTCGGGCAGCTGGCGGGTGGCGCGGACGCGGTGTTCCGCCCCTCCGGGCCTGCCCTGCCGCGGGACCACTGCCACCCACCCTCGGGGCAGGGACCCGCGCGCGGTGTCAGCGCGGAGAGGCCTCCCGCGCGCGAGCCGCGCTTTATATACGCGGAGGGCGGCGCCTGCGCAGGGCCCGGCGCGGCGGCGCGGCCTTTGAAGTCCTGGCGGCTGCCGCTTTCATC